CTATTTATGTGCCAAAAAATATTGCTGTACAGCATGTCATAAATAAGGCCATGAATAAGGTTTGTGGGAGTTGTTTTTGTTAGCTGTTAACTAAGTAGAGTAGAAAGGTTAGAATTTGAATCACAGCTCTCAAAAGCCCTTGTTGTACATGTAAATTAAAGATTTTTTTAATAATCAGTGTTATAGAAAATTAAAGGGTCACTCCAAGCACCATGACCCATACAGATCATTGTAGTGGTTATGGAGCAAAGCGTTTTTGTATGTCAATCCCAAAATCTATGTTAAACCATTTTCAACAGTTTGACAAAAACTGTGCTCTTCTGACACCTAAAGCCCGGCCCAATGCTGCAGTTTTGCTATTGAGGAAACAAATTTCTAAATTAGGAAATACAATAAGGCATGATAAACTATCATGCCGCATTCAGCCAGTATGACAACATGATCAGCTCAGATCCTACCCTGAACCTGCTGCATGACAACTCAATTGGAACTCAGACAATTCTGCTTGCAGAAGAGTATAAAGGTAGAAATATATTGTTGGTTTTCAAAACAAGAATTTTTAATAATAGCTTCAAACCAGTCCACGGTTGATGACTTCAAACATTTAGGCCATAAAATGTAGAAAACACATAACCTAAAAAATTAATTTGGTTTTCTTGCGTCGAGGGCACTTACTCCAGTACTTCATGAGTAAATACCTTCATGTGTAAGATGTCTTTTCAATTTACCTGCTTTGAAATATAGCAATATATTTGTGCCTTTATTCTGCATTATCCTGTTCAACCTTGAGCATCAATGTCAGATTTGAGGTGCCAAGCGAGATCCAGTTTTTGTCAAACTACTCAAATGTGGTTAAACAGAAACAGTGGGGAAGCCACTGAAATAATTTTAAAAGCTGTAGTGGTTATGGTGCTTAGTATGCACCTTTAAGTGAGCATGATAGGAAAAGTTATTCCTAATTTGTTGAGAATTTCATGCACAAACTGCACATTATAAGATTTTATAGCAAATGCAGGAACTTCAAAATTTTTTTTTTTTAATAATTGTAATATATAGTTTTTCATATATTTCTATGTATATAATCAATAAAAAATAATGGATCACTTCCACGTGGAGTGTCTCTTTAAATCTCCCAGATGAATCTGGAGTTCAAACAAGCTTGACAGAAATATGGTGGCCAGGTTTGAACCTCACTATATGTGCTAGGATGCACAAAAATACCTCCTGGGTGATTGTAATGGCTCATGGGGAATTCTGTTCATGTTCTATGAGAAGATGGAAAGTTTGAGCACTGAAGTAAAAGCACCAGGAGTCACATGGTAGTAGCTGAACGATTACCTCCATAAATGGCACCGTGTTTTCATTACGAAAATGTAAAAACACTCTATAAGACACCCTCGGGCAACATGAGTTCATATTAGATATGAGCAGTTTGCCTGTGTTTGTGCTAGCTGAGTAATTCTAAACCTCCAGTAGGAGCTACATATCCAGAATTTTAATTCCAGTTTTAGGTCAATTTTATCTTTGTTCACGTAAACTTTATTTTCAGGCATACCATTTAGAGATAACTATCTGCCAGTTCTACTTTACAATAATAAAATTAAAAAAATAGATTCCTTTATATAGATATAGTATTGATAAAATTAAGGCATATTAAAATGGTAAATTGTATGGATGAGACTTATCTCCCCAAATTAAGCAACGTGTTTCGAAAACTCAATTGTGACTGAGAGTATCTGCTTCTAGAATCTTACGTATTCAGGTCAAATTGTTCTTCTGTATATAAGCCAAATGATGTATTTCTTTATATAGAGGCCTAGAGTCACACAGCTCCCTCTCTTGTTGAACAGTCATTAACACCTGCCGCATTTTCTTATTTTCTCTCAGTCCTACCATAAAGCTGAAGAAGAAAGGCTGCTAGCCAGCTGAGCACTACTAACAGTACTCTACTCGGGCCCTATGACCCAGCTGTGCTCTATAATTGAATCTCACCATCTTATATGTGACTCCTGGTTTGTTTTTGTTTTTTTGTGTTATTGGAAGAAGTATCCTTCCATTTGAGGAGAAGGGTTAAAATGGCTGTTAGTTACCTTACAAACAAATGGACATGTATTCAACATGTATTCAAAAATTATAGTTATAGTTATAGTGTCTATTAAAGATAACTGTGATGTTTCCTCCCATAACTAATTAAATAAATGTAATAATTTATAATAAATTGCCTGTTGAAAATGAAGAATTGCATTTTTCTTTTTAATTCTTTATTTTTCATGTGCACGATATGACTTACAAGCTTGAAGAAGCCAGATTGGTGGAAACAAGCACAATTATAACAATCAACTTGAACAGAGATATGGCTATTAGTAGGATGCACATTTTTTTGGTATTAAAACATTGGTCATAAAGGCATGCAGAGGTTTCGTCAAGTGTGCTATTACTGCGACATGGAGTGTGTGGTGGGCAGTGATTTGTCTGAGTAATGTCCTGAAGTCTATACCTGTCATTGGTGTATGCCTTCTCCGGTCGTCTATGGTGCACACGGCTGACCGTATGTCAGATATGTGTGGTCTACCTGTGCACCTAGTGTGAATAGCGCCCCTGAGGGGGGGTCGAGAGGCCTGCGGTCCATCAAGGAGGTAAGTGTCCCCTGTGACCCTGGGGGGGGGGGTGCAGGCTTGGGGACTAAGGAGCGGGTGGTCACCTCGTAGTTTGATCTCTGCCGGTGAGTCATGTGAATGCGGGGGTTAGTGGAGCGGTGATGCCCCCCAGTGTGCAGCAGTCTCGGGTGTGCAAGGTTAGTGGTGTCCTAAGGTCAGTTCCCGTAAGGTCAATCATTGTGTGGCTAAGGCAGCGATAAAATCAGATAGGGAAACAGATCGCTAATGTCTAGAGAAAGTCAATAGTAAAAACTATGGGTGTTTTTGCAGCTCTTCCTCGTGGGGTATACACGGGTGTTCAATCAGGGTGTCAGTTCCTTAGTGCATTGTCCTGTGATGGGGGAGAATGTTCCAATCTGGGTGCTCGACCCTTATGTGGTAGCCGCTGCACACTTGGGTTTCCCCGCTCCTCGTGGGATGAAGGGGATCGTCTTCGTTGGATCCCATCTCCGAGCTTTTGCTGTTGCTGCCAGTGCATCAGCGGACGGCAGTCCCTCCGGGGGTAGGCCCAGCTGTCGCAGCAAGGCGGGTGCTTCTTGAATGTCCTAGATAGAGTAGGCCTTGTTGTCGTGCTGAATGTGCAGTGTACGTGACGTACGCCAGCGATAGGCGATCTGTTTTTCTCTGAGCATTTTGGTAACGGGTAGCAGGGACCTGCACCACTGCAGAGTTTCCCCCGAAAGGTCTGCAAAGAAGGACAGGGTCATCGCTTCAAAGCAGTAGGTGGCAGCCCCCTTCAAGGCCGTGAGCACCGCCATTTTGTCAGCCGCGCTTCTGTACTTCACCACCAGGTCTCGAGAGGCTGCCTCTGGGGCTCTCCGGGGTTTTGGGATCCAGAAGGCAGTTTCAAAGCCAATGGTCCTGGCCTGCTCAGGCGTCAGTAGGGCTCCCGTGAGCCGCCGCAGGAGATGTGGGATTTCCTTAGTGGGTACGTCCTCCGGGATCCCGCGGATCTTTAGATTATTGCGGCGCCTGTCATCTTCAAAGCATTGGTCAGTCTTGGCCTGCTTTTGTTTTAGAGCCTGTATTTCCTGCTTGAGCTCTGTGATTTCTTGTGCTTGCCACGTGGAGGTAACTTCAACCACCTCAATGCGGCCCACTAGTCCTGTGAGGTAGCTGTGCGACGTCCGCCTGGAGGGTTTTCTACAAGTCTCCCAGGAGAGTCTTCAGCAGCATCGCTGTCACAGGTTCTGCCACCGCTGTGCTTGGTGCTGGGTGTTGAGGCCTCACTGGAGGTAGAGTAGTGGCTTCCTCCGGGTAGAAATCCCCCGAGGAGTCAGAACTCCTCGTGGTCGGCAGCCATTTTGGGGCCTTATGCCCCCTGTACCTGATTGATGAGATCCCTTATGTTGGCCCCCTGTGCAGGTCGATCCGGTTTTTGTTTCTTGTTTTTCCTCCCCACTGTCGGTCTGGGTTGCTTGGGCGTTATTATCAGCAGTTAGATGGCTGAAAATCGTTAGTTTGCTCCAGTCTGACTCAGAGCCCATCTAACCTGCGTCCGCTCGGGTCAGCTGCCAGACTTCACCCCCGAAGAATTGCATTTTAACTTTACCTTAGCTCAGGAATGAATAGTAGTGTTGGGAATAATACACTTTGCTTATACTGACCCAAGGCTCAAGCTACAGATGAAAGGATGTTTAGTCTGTTTAAAATTGGTTAACATGTCAGATATTTGAAATAATATACTTTATCTATATCCAATGCTTAGTGAATATACCCCTAGACAAGTGCCGTAGAACATCATGTAACAAGTAATAGGTGTTATATCCTGTATGTTTCTGCTGTTGGCCTTATTTCCCGAGTTTCTCCCATTGATCAGAACTGCATAGTAATGTATAATTTAGAACTGCGTAGTAAATATCTTTAAATTCTAAGTGCGTATGCATATTAATTTTAACTGCGTAGTTATAGTGAAACTTAGCTTTGAGCAAGGCCCGAACATGAAGATACACCTGCAAGTTTGCTATAGGTTAAGATGTTAAAATAAGATAGATGATTTTATTAGGATTGGATAATGCTTGTAAGACCACCCCTGTTCCTCTTGAACATAACCTGTTACACAGTCCATTAAATGGGAAGTCACTTTGAACCTTGCATTGTCTTGTCTCTTTCATGGGGGGCTCCTCGCCAGCTGGTGTGGGGATAAGGAGAAATACAGAGTTCCAAATTAATTAGAAGTCCATGTCGTGACATAAAGGAAAATTCCCGACGCAGGAAATATTCACTAACAAGTAGTAAATCAAAATAAAACAATTTCAAAAAAACAATACTTTTTTTTCTTTTAAGTACAGTAAGAAACAGGTAAACATAAAAATAATGAATTAGATAGGCTATTTATTTTAGGTTTCGTCTAGAAAACCTATTATTTCCTCTTCCACAATTTTTGTATTTCCATAGGTGATAGAAAATATTTTTTTAAGCAGAAGTTGGAACTAGAGTTGAGCGAACCCGAACTGAAAAGTTCGGGTTCGTACCGAACATTAGGTTTTTTGGACCCCAGACCCGAACACCGACATATCACTGTATGTTCGGGTTGGAGTTCGGTGATTTAATGGCGCGTTTTCAAAGACTGCAGGGCAGCCAATCAACAAGCGTTTGACTCGCGTGCCCTTAGAAGCCATCACAGCCATGCCTACAAATGGCATGGCTGTGATTGGCCAGTGCAGCATGTGACCCAGCCTCTATATATAAGCTGGAGTCGCGAAGCTGGGAGAGGATGCTGCCGCTGATAGGGACAGCATAGGAAATAATTCTGCAAACTAGTACATTAGTGGGGTGGGGTGCACTTCATATCTGAGAGTCAAATAGAAGCGTCAAATACCACGTTTACATAGGAGTTATAAAAAGTAAAAAAAATTTGGTGCTAAATAGTACATTAGTGGGGTAATGCATTAGTGGGGTGCACTTCATATCTGAGAGTCAAATAGAAGCATCCAATACGGCTGTCACATTTCAGTTTTAAAACTTTTTGGGTCCTAAACTGCTAAATAGTATTTTAGTGTGGTGCACTTCATATCTGAGAGTCAAATAGAAGCGTCTAATAGTGTGCTTACAGCGCAGTGGTAAACATTCTTATTTTCTGGGTGCTAATCTGCTAAATAGTACATTTTGGGGCATGCACTTCATATCTGAGAGTCCAATAGAAGCGTCTAATAGTGCGTTTACAGGACAGTAGTAAACATTCTTATTTTCTGGGTGTTAATCTGCTAAATAGTACATTTTGTGGCCTGCTCTTCATATCTTAGAGTCAAATAGAAGCGTCTAATACTGCGCTTACAGCACAGTGGTAAACATTCTTATTTTCTGGGTGCTAATCTGCTAAATAGTACATTTGTGGCCTGCGGTGCACTTCATATGTGAGAGTCAAATAGAAGCGTCAAATACTGCTGTCACATTGCAGTTTTAAAACTTAAAAATTTTTGGGCGCTAAACTGTTAAATAATATTTTAGTGGGGTGCACTTCATATCTGAGAGTCAAATAGAAGCGTCTAATAGTGCGTTTACAGAGCAGTGGTAAACATTCTTATTTTCTGGGTGCTAATTTGCTAAATAGTACGTTTTGTGGCCTGCTCTTCATATCTGAGTCAAATCGAAGCATCTAATAGTGTGCTTACTACGCAGGTGTAAACATTCTAATTGTTTTGCTGCTAATCTGCTAAATTGTACATTTTGGGGCATGCACTTCATATCTGAGAGTCAAGTAGAAGCGTCTAATAATGTGCTTACAGGGCAGTGGTAAACATTCTTATTTTCTGGGTGCTAATCTGCTAAATAGTACATTTTGCGGCCTGCTCTACATGTCTGAGAGTCAAATCGAAGCGTCTAATAGTGTGCTTACTGCACAGTTGTAAACATTCTAATTGTTTTGCTGCTAATCTGCTAAATAGTACATTTGCAGCCTGCGGTGCACTTCATATCTGAGAGTCAAATAGAAGCGTCTAATAGTGTGCTTACAACGCAGTGGTAAACATTCTTATTTTCTGAGTACTAATCTGCTAAATAGTACATTTTGGGGCGTTCACTTCATATGTGAGAGTCAAATAGAAGCGTCTAATAGTGCGCTTTCAGGGCAGTGGTAAACATTCTTATTTTCTGGGTGCTAATCAGCTAAATAGTACATTTTGTGGCCTGCTCTTCATATCTGAGAGTCAAATCGAAGCATCTAATAGTGTGCTTTCTGCGCAGTTGTAAACATTCTAATTGTTTTGCTGCTAATCTGCTAAATAGGCCCTGGGGAGATAGCGCAACTAAGCAGACAAGGACATATGTAGGAGTGTGGGGATAGATGCATGGGATTCGGTTGGGAAAGAGTGTGTGGGTGGGATTATGTTCTGTGTAAGTTAGTGTGGGGGAGGTCTTACCTCAGTGCCACTTGGTATTCGGTGCAGCAAACAGCTTCCCTCCCGCCCGCCCTATTGGTATATTTAGTCACAGCTAGCCGGGGGTATGTCCTTGCCAATTGAGTTTGAGAGGTTATGTTTAAGTATATGGAATGAGATGAACAAGTTTTTAAGGTCTCAGCTTCCCCTGCTTCAAACGGTTAACATTAGGTTGTCTGAGGTGTCGTGCCCATCGAGCGTGGATAAGGTCGGCTGATGGCGGGCATTGGAAAGATATGACTTTTATGACGAGGGGGGAGGTGAGAGGAAGTGGTGATTAGGAACCACTGTATGTTTATTGGCAAGGATGGTTGGGTCACTGTATAACACTATGTGTGGAGTTATATATGTATATATGTTAATTTATGCTTATTTATGACTAACGTTTTGGTTACAGAAAAGAAGAGATTTAATAAATAAAGTTATGGATGTGTTATGCAGTAATTTAGTTTGTGATAATAAATGCTGTGGCCTGTTTCATCCATACTAAGTGGTCTGTCGTTATTGGGGCGTTGAATGGAGTTAGTTTTTGTTTTAGGCTGCATCGCGATTCCCCACTACGTACATACAAGTACATTTTGGGGCCTGCGGTGCACTTCATATCTGTGAGAAATAGAAGCATCTAATAGTGTACTTACAGCGCAGTGGTAAACATTCTTATTTTCTGGGTGCTAATCTGCTAAGTAGTACGTTTTGGGGCGTGCACTTCATATCTGAGAGACAAATAGAAGTGTCTAATAGTGCGCTTACAGGGCAGTGGTAAATATTCTTATTTTCTGGGTACTAATCTGCTAAATAGTACATTTTGTGGCCTGCTCTACATTTCTGAGAGTCAAATCGAAGCGTCTAATAGTGTGCTTACTGCGCAGTTGTAAACATTCTAATTGTTTTACTGCTAATCTGCTAAATAGTACATTTGCGGCCTGTGGTGCACTTCATATCTGAGAGTCAAATAGAAGCGTCAATTAGTGCGCTTACTGTGCAGTTGTAAACATTCTAATTGTTTTGCTGCTAATCGGCTGCTTACATTGGAGTTTTAAAAAGTCGTAAGTCGTAACTTTGATTCGAATTTACTACATCGGTCACTTGTAATATTGTTTCATACCTACAACACTTGTTACCCAGATCTAAGTGATAGAAAACAGATTGATATTTTCTACACTAGAAACTACCAGATAAAAAGCTGCTATATTCAAACCAGTGATCAATAGCTAAGAGGTACTTCAACAATATTGTAATTCTGGGGCAATACCCTCACAAGTCAAACTGAGAGGTCAGTTTATAGGATAAACTGTTGCCTGGAGGAAATTCTAAAACATTTTCCATATGTCCTTTGCAGACTTTACATGCTGGAAAAACACAGGTGCCAACTGCTGTGGCTTTCTGCAGTGTGCATACCGGGAGGGCAGGGTTGAGGAGTAGGAGGAAAATGATGTGGAGGATGATGAGGTCCTAGACCCCACATGGAATCAAGGTCATGAGAGTGATGAGTGCAGTTTGGAGGAAGATGCGTTGGTCGCACAGAGGCACCAGCACAGCATAAGAGGGAGCAGGGTGCAAAAGCAGAGCGGCCGTCCCCTAGCGCGCGTCTGCATGTATTAGCTCGAGAATTACCAGTTATCCAAGTAATACATGTAGCGATCAAAGGATCCATAATAGAGTTGAGTGAACCCGAACTGCAAAGTTCGGGTTCGTACCAGATTTAACGATCCATTCGTAGTTTCACAGTGAGGTGGGCAGTCCAGTGACCAGGACCCAGACACTGTCTGGGCAGCGGTCGGATGACCGGGACCCAGTATGCCTGATGT